TTGATCGACAAAGCGATAGACAAAGGAAACAAAAAGGATATGGAGGGATCCTAGTGGTGTAAGCGGGTGGTTTCAATGGACAAAGGAGGTAGGCAACAGAATACCTAACGGCAAACCTTTGGATACCCTATGGTTAGTCCATCAAATTCTCCCTTATTCTATAAGAACCACTTGTTTCAACCAATAGAATCACTGTATACTCCTTATGTCTCCTGTGTCTATCGGTTTATCGATCAATTTCAACAATCAGCCCTCTGACATTTCCCGGTTTTCCCTGAATTTTTAAAATGCCCTGACGTTTCCCGGTTTTCCCGGCATTCTTTGCCCTTGGCAACCCTGGAATCAACATCAAAATTTGCAGTTCAGGTCAAATATTTCATGTCTGACCTCTGTGGTTGATTGGATCTACTGTGCGGTGCAGGGTGGCTTGATGGGAGCATTCCTCCCGTCAAGACAAGACGCAGCAGACGGAAAAGCGATTGATCTAGATTGAGACGCAATCGAGAGTTACGAGCCTGATTCATGCAAGTCGTGCCATGATTACGCGCCGGCCTGTGGAAAATCACCCGCCGAGGTTTTCTCTCGCAAAGGCAAAAAATCGCCGGCCAAGAAGTGGTTGGAATTTATCTGAAATGAACGTATTTAAATCGAAATGCACTATCTCCATTTTAACGCTTAACTTCTGACGTCACGGTTAAATGTAAACTCAGAGAAAAGGGACCCTCCACTGGTATCTCGGAAATGATGGAAGCTTTTACTTTCGGGACTTCAATAAACAACTTCACGCAGGTCGATCCAGAAGTTCCGCACCATCCCGCAATCGGAGGGTATGGATTCGATCGACAAATTATTAAAAAAACCGGTGTCGATTCGATCGACATAAATCAATCGGCACAGATTCGATCGACATTTAATTTAAAAACACCCGTGTCGATTCGATGGACATAAATGGATCGAAAAATGAAAACGTGCGTCGATCGACAAACCTGTGAATCGATCGACAAACCCGTGAGTCGATCGACAAACCCGTGAATCGGTCGACAAACCCGTGAGTCGATCGACAAGCCCGTGAATTGATTGAATTTTGTCGACGGAATCGTAGGTCGATTGGTTCACGTTTTCATTTTTCGATCCATTCATTTCGATCGAATCCATACCCTCGCGCGCAATCGATATTTTCAATGGATTTAAACGGAGGAAAAACAGTGTTGCCAACTTGCAATATTGCCACTGTCCCTTTAATCTCTGAGATTTTTCCCCTTTTCACAGTAGCACCCCTAAAATTTTGGGAAGTCCTAATGTCGTTTCCCTCAACCTGGGACTGGGGGCACTCGAGAGATTTAAAAGTTTCCATCTCAAGTTGTTTGAAAGTTACAGGAGTGATGCCTGGTGCTGGGCACTGCGAGACTTTCGGATCATTCCGTATGATACTTGAGATCCGACGTCCAACTGAATACGACCGGAGTGATTTTGGTGTACTACTAGGCAACTACGCTTTTGGAAAATCAGCGACCAATACGAAAAAATTCACACGTCCATTCGTGAGCCGAGCGCGCCTAAACAGAATCAAGCTGATGATATTAGTCACCAAGTTTGTGAGAGGGATGAATCGTGGAGGTGCAATATTTACTGATGTAAATGAGGTAAAGAGTCTGGAAAACAGGTTATGGGACAGGGTCGGACTGGCTCGCATCTGAGGGCGTAGACCCTTGGCTAGTTAAAGGGGCGTAATGTGATATTTCCTGATGGGGCATCCCCTTCGTGGAGAGGGGTTCAGAAAATTTTGGCAAAGCAGCACAAGTTTAGGCTATTTTCAGGTTCAAAGTTTATTAATCGCCCAGAGTAAAAATTGCAAAATTGAACGTATTGAAGTGACCGACAGACTTCTGAAATTAAAGAAAACCAAAAAAATTAAAGCCACTAGACGCATCCAAGCACCATTATTTCCATAAGAACCGTGTCAGTGCTGCGGATTACACGAGCTTAAGTCGTGGGTCTAAAAATCCATCCTAAAAAAGAATCAGGCAAGAACCTGAAAGAAGAAGAAAGAAAGAGTACGAACACAGCCGACGACAAGGAAGACGTATTCGGGCCTCTTTTTAACTTTACTTCCGAATCTGAGCGACACCTCATTTACAGCATATAGCAGGGCATTGAGAACTCACGCTTCGCGTCATCGCGCCTTCAATTTTTCAGATGCAGCACGGACGTCCATCAAGTACGAATAGTTGTATCTCTGCGCCGTCGTTAACGCGCATCCTTTCCCTCGCTTTATTTCCATATTGTGTTTGTTTGCGTTTGTCTTATTTGTAATGGTGCTTCAAATACTACGTAAATAACACAACCGAGGGTAGGAGAGATGTGTTCGGGCCTCTTTTTAAACTTTTCTTCCGAATCTGAGCGACACCTCATTGGCAGCATATAGCAAGGCATTAAGAACTCACGCTTCGCGTCATCGCGCCTTCAATTTTTTAGATACAGCACGGACGTCCATCAAGTACGAATAGTTGTATCTCTGGTCTCTGCGCCGTCGTTAACGCGCATCCTTTCCCTCGCTTTATTTCCATATTGTGTTTGTTTGCGTTTGTCTTATTCGTAATGGTGCTTCAAGCACTACGTGAATAACACAACCGAAGGTAGGAGAGATGTGTTTGGGCCTCTTTTTTAACTTTCCTCCCGATTCTGAGCGACACCTCATTGGCAGCATATAACAGGGCATTGAGAACTCACGCTTCGCGTCATCGCGCCTTCAATTTTTCAGATGCAGCACGGACGTCCATCAAGTACGAATAGTTGTATCTCTGCGCCGTCGTTAACGCACATCCTTTCCCTCGCTTTATTTCCATATTGTGTTTGTTTGCGTTTGTCTTATTTGTAATGGTGCTTCAAATACTACGTGAATAACACAACCGAGGGTAGGAGAGATGTGTTCGGGCCTCTTTTTAAACTTTTCTTCCGAATCTGAGCGACACCTCATTGGCAGCATATAGCAGGACATTGAGAACGTTGGGCATTGCGTAGAGGCGATAGCCGGTTCGACTTTTAGACATACGCACACTTTATAGACCTCTTGAGAGACCTTTAAGCATATTTCTTCCTTTTCAAAATGACTATTGATTTGGACATATCATAGCATATCTCGGGCAAACTTAGCCTTAATTTATTTCGAAATTCTAAAGTTAGAGACATCTAAAGTGTAAACGCGATACAACTATTCTCGTAAGATGGATGTCCACATTGCATATGAAAAATGTAAGACGCGATGGTGTGAGTCGTGAACTCGCAATGCTCTGCTCTAATTTAAACCAACATTACAAATAAGACAAACGGAAACAAACACAACATGGAAATAGAGGGAGGGAAAGGATGAGCGTTAACGACGGCGCAGAGATACAACTATTCGTACTTGATGGACGTCCGTGCTGCATCTGAAAAATTGAAGGCGCGATGACGCGAAGCGTGAGTTCTCAATGCCCTGCTGTATGCTGCCAATGAGGTGTCGCTCAGATTCGGAAGAAAAGTTAAAAAAGAGGCCCGAACACATCTCTCCTACCCTCGGTTGTGTTATTCACGTAGTGCTTGAAGCACCATTACGAATGAGACAAACGCAAACAAACTCAATATGGAGATAAAGCGAGGGAAATTCTCAGCCGAAAAAATGATCAAAAGGTTTCATGCATTCGTGGGAGAACAATACTGTGGGCGCAAGTGCGGGATGAGCGAAAGAAGTACGTCGTCTAGACTTTGCTGTAAGCCTCTGACTATACAATGGTAAGGAGCCAATATCTGCAGAAACTCACGCCAAAATGTAAATGCAAATAGGCATCACGGGCTTATCTACGGCTGAGAATCACTTTGAACGGTCGAGTGGTGATCAACACTGCCGTGCTAAGGAAGAACGCAGTATGAACCTTCAGACGTTGCCAAGTTTGCTTCGATTAAATGCGAATTTACTAGGAATGTTGCTGATATTTTTCTTCTAATTCTTCAGACAATTTTGTCCACACTTTCATCTACAACATATGAAAATTTCAAGGGAAAAAATGCATAAATTTCCTCCAAAATACGTGTTTTATCCGGGGAAATTTGGCAACTCTCGAATGTGCATACGGCGTTCTTCCTTAGCATGGCAGAGCAGGGACCCGGCCCCTCCCTCACCGCAGTGGGTGTGCACTGAAGATAAAACTCCTTCATTTTTGAGGCACGCAACAAGCCGTGCGATCTACTGCAACGGTGATCGTGGCTGTCGCTCATCAATCGAACACTTAGCAAAAATGAGAGGAAAAGAAAATTTCCCTACTGACAACGGAGCCGTCAGGAATATTTTGTCGTACTAAGGAAGAACTTATAAGTTTTCAGACATTACCAAAGCATCTTTGGGACCGTCCAACTTTTTCCCATTTGTTTACCTCCCTTCCCTTCGTAACGCACCCGTAACGTAGCCCTACAATCTCCCTTTTGAATTACGTAACAGTGACATGAGCCCCCCCCCCTCCAATCTCAAAAAAGATTTGAAAATATTCGTTCGTGAGGGTCGGGATTTACAATTTTTTGCACGTATTTTTCAAAGTTTTTCCGTACGTTTTTCCCAGCTTGGATTTGTTACGTAACGCTAGGCTTGACTCCCCCTCCTCCCACCCTTTCTTGTAACGCACCGTAACGCTGACTCAAACCTTTCTCCCCCCCCCCCCTAAGTGCGTTACGTGATACTTGAACGAGCACCTATCATAAAAAACGAATTTCAGGGAAACTGAAAATATTTTTCTTTTTATTATTCAGAGAACTTAACTTGAAATTTGACTTTAAGTACGTGCAAATTTCAAGGAACAATTTTCATTATTCACATCAGAAAATACAAACTTTATGAGGGAAAGTTTAGCAACTTTTGAAATTTCACGCAGCGTTTTCTTCAGCACAGCAGTATTACAGCCCTTTGAGGTATTTAAAATTACCTTGATGGGTACGATAATATGGTTTAGGTGGCTATGAATGAAAACACATTTTAGAAACAATTAAAAATGTTTTATGGTGCCATAACAAAGTTCAGTAAAGTGTATATAAAAGTAGATACAAAGAAAAATATCGATATTTGCTAAGAAAATACAAAAACTTGGATCAAAGGTATGAAAGGCTTGTTGAACGATTTCCTTAAAATATCAGAATTTCTGAAAATTAAAGAAAATAATATTTCTCAGAAAAGTCTAAAATATTTTACAGGAGGGCCAATATAAGGCCATTTTCCATAAGACTGATGTGTACCCAACAGGAAGAGCAAACTTCAAATTAGATTAAAAACATATTTATATGAATAGAATGAAATACTACATATAGAAGGACTTTTGAAGCTAAATTAGTTGTTAGATGGAGCTTGTAACACTCCCTTCAAAAACTTTTAAGGTACTCGTGAATCACAATTTTCCTCTTCTATGAATTAAAATTAAGTATTGAACGAAAAAGGGTTTAATTAAATTTACTATTTCATTGTGAACACATTGCTTACGAGAAAATTCCAAAATTTCAAGCCTACTTCTACTTAGTTATTAATATGCAAATGATTAAGGTACTTCGTTGAGGAGAAAAATGACATCAGAGGGGCATCACATTAAATTTGTCTTTGGAAATGAAGATTTTGTTTTAAAAAAATCACAAAATGCATAAAAATGAGCTTTTCATGCAGAAAGAATCACAGCTTTATAAAAAAAAATCGATGAAAACTGTATTAAAGTAAAGGGGGAAAATTTCTACACCTTCTAAAATGATCTTTCAAAAAGGAACAGTACACAGCGCTTTTGATGCATTTGTAGAATGATGTATTTTAACGCAACACTGACTCTGATAAATTTTGTATATGTAAAAAGTAGTTCACACTCGGTTAGAAGTATGGAAAGGTCCGAATACACTCATCTCTGAACGGCCCCCATGAAAAATTCCAGGAATTAGACAATCCACATAAGTCTTTCACACTTTTTTTTTTACATAAAAGCAATACCTCTGATAAAATTGAATTTTTTTGCTCAGCAAAAGAGGCTTTGCTTCTCAAAAAAGAGATGGCTTTGTTTGTTTCCATAGAAATATTTCACTGTGTCTAAAAAAGGGATCAACGTTTCTAAGAAAAGTTTTGTGGCGAGCTGAAAAATCTTTGGAAAAATCCCCTGTCTTATATAATAGTCTTTTTGATTAATTTCATGACAAGAAAGCCTTCATGATAGAGAAAATGCTACATGATAACCAAATGTATGAAAAAGGACCTTATCTTTTCCTTAAATTGTTACCAACACTAAAACCACAATTTTCTAAAACCAAAGAACTTTTGTCTTGGAACTTTAGGACTAATATCTCCTTCAATTGTTGAGATTTCAGGGTAAAACTGACGCCAAAATTTCCTGATTTTCTTTTCCAGTGCATTTACAAAAAGTTGTGGAAAATTGTATCTCAGATGATTAGGTCCCTTTTCATAGGTGCATTTACATTTTATAATGCCTTAAATCTTTTCCTTACAAACTACAGTCATGACTCAAACTTATATCTAATTTTATCATTTGCAAAAAAATCGATCATGACAACGCATTTTCTAAGTTGAATTTCCCACAAACCAGACTACCCGGCTTTGATCTCTGTCAAGGAAAGGTAGTCAAATTATGGAATGATTGCATCATACACAGAGATGGATTTAAATCACAGCCGATAATTAAGGATGTAGATTCAATCTACAGATGGAGAGGTTGACTTAAATTATTAGGTAACCGATTTCGCACATCGGAACCCTAGATTGCTGGCTGAGCTGTCTGGAGTGTTTTGACTCCGAGCTCCACATCGATATCGGTAACAGTACTTCTTATGACACATGTAAGAGCCTCCCTTTTTTACTTTATCAGTGCCTGATGGAGGTCCTTTCTGAAAAGAAAAAAAAAAGGAGTAAAATGACAACCTGGATGTACTTTTATTTATTATGAATTAACTTTTTTTGGTGAAGATTTAGACTAATCAGAGTTGTAAATGTGGCCTACCGGCGCAGTATTGTTGCAAAAACATTGCCACATCAGTATTTTCATTGAATGACGTTGGTGCAACAATTTTACAGCCATCCTCTCCGGGCACGTATAGCCCTTTTAATAAGGAGATTTTTCGAATAGCTTCAAAAACTGATGCTTTTCAGTCATAATAGTACCTCATTTTGTAACAAGGTGGAGAAATGGTGCTAGGTCCCCACCATTTACATACATTACATTACATACAGTTCGGGCTACTTCTTAGTGTTTCTTTTCTCATTACCTCATTTTGTCAATATAGAGTTAAATTTTTACAAATATTTATGTGTGAATGATATTAGATCTTCCCTGATAACCACAGAATAAAATAGTACAGGCATAAAGGTGCACAGCCTCTTAAAATTCAATTAAAGTACAATTATGCTTAGTAGCCCTCATTGATGGGATCATCAAAACACAGTTGAATCGGTCATCCTAAAAAAAGACTTGGACAAGAAAATGAAGTTCAAGAAAAACGGTAAAAACTGTAAAAATTGACCCAATTTAAAATTAAAATTGAGTAATGATGTAAGCAATGAATTGAGCACTTTCATATTTTAGAGTGGATTGATTAAAATGGTCTTTACCATATTTCACATATTTTCATTTCCAGCTCTTGAGTCTTATTGAGAATGACTGGTTTACTTGGGAATAATTTACAAATTACAAAAATAAATCTCTTTCATTTTTAGTTTGAGAAAAAAATATGAAAAGGAAAAATAACAATCTAGCGAACTCTAAAAAAACAAAAAATGTAATTGTTGATTTCTTTGAGGAAAATTTCCTTTCGCTCGATATATTGATCAAATTTTCAAAATGACATTTTCAGACATCCGTTTTAGGAAGTGTTGCAAAACACTAGATTTAGCCTTCTTTTCTAATAACACACTAATACATAGACACCATTAGATTTCCCTTGTCCTAAACCATTACATAACTTCTGTACAGCTTATCTGCACTGCGTAGGAAGAACGCAATATGAACCATCAGCCATTGCCAAATTTCTTTTGGTAAAATGCAAATTTTCTGAGAGGCTTGTGAACATTTTTCTATCAATTTTACAGATTATTGTTCTTGCAATTTCATCTAAAGTATCTGAAAATTTCAAAGAAAAGTATTCATGTCATTCCTCAAAAATCATTATTTTATCAAGAAAAATTTGACAACATTTGAGTCAACATACAGCATTTATTCTGAGCATGACAGTATGTATTATAATTAGGATTAAGTGAATAAAAAACTGAAACATACCATAGCAAATGTTCAAAACAATCCAAACCATAGGGAGGCGGTTACATTCCAATGCGAAGATGATTCTTGATGAGTGCAACAGTATTACCAGAGAATAAAGCACAATGTGAAAGAAAGAGACAAGCAAAGAGTGCAAAAGCAAAAAAAAAAAAAAAAAAAAAAACCACTTCAAAGAAAATTACACAAACTCAAATTCACAAATACACACTTACCAAAAACAACCAAACAAACAAAATGAAGTATAATAGCCAAGCACCTAATCAAGATGAAATGAAAAACCACAACGAAAGTAACGGTGCCACTTTATAAAAAATATTGCAGAATAAATTCCTGAATTCAAGATCTTCTCTAAATAACGCCAAAATGAAATTATTTTTTTTTTTTCAAAAGCAACACGACTTGACAAACCTACTGGACCCAAGTTTCGTTGGCTATGGTCAAGTGCAAGTTGCAAAACCAAACCTCAAATTCGACTTTGAGTCCGGAAAATTCAAGTTTTGTGTGGGTTTTAACAAAATGACCACGTTTGTGTGCCTCACAAGTGCGTATTTTGGTTGCCTGTTGATAGTCATAATTAGATCGAAATGGCCATTGCACATGAGAAAATTACAGGAGGAAAAATCGGGAGAAACAGGTGAAAATTAAAAACTTCTACATCATGAAATGATTTACTTGAGCACATTTTTCTTGGATATTAAATATGAAGCACTGCATGCCCCTAGAGATAATTTTCTCACATTCCCAAAGCTGTGCAATTTTGGAGGTGCAAAACACGAACCAGGTTTACGGATTTTAGTATTGATGGCATTCAGATACTCAGTGCTACTCATTAGTTATTTGAAGAATTCACCCTTAAAATTGATGATTGCTAACTAGAAAAAGCTCCTTAACTTTTAAAAGGCACAGAATGATAGAAATTTTGGCCAAGCAATCTAATTTCTATTTCCAACCATGAATAAATGTTTGTGCGTTTTCTTAAACGACTAAATAAAAAAATTTTGGCTCATGATTTGATCGGATACATGAAAATCGGCCTGCCAACAACGGATATTGCCTAATTTTCTCTAATTTTTTACTTTCGAAGCAGTAAACTGAGCAGGGAATCATGCAACAAGAAATGCAATTCGGTAACGTATTCTGGTTGAATCCGGCAAATCTGCTTTAAATGGTCACCAAATAAAACTCTAAAAAGACTCAGGCAGCTGATTTTGGATTCAGACCTGTAAACTGGTGTCCCCTGACATCTTATACTTCTTTTAACCACCGCAAAGAGCTTTTAAAAAATTCAGTGTTCTGCTTTTCCCCGAAATTTTGAGATCCACCTTGGCAGAAAAGCCCAGTTTTTAGGAGTTGTCTACAATTTTTGACAGCCAAATTAACTTTTTGCAAATGCATTAGGGCTTCTGCAAATTTGAAAACCCTGATGAGGTGCATGGGTTTTTTTAATCACCACAATGGCCCAGCTTCTCTTATTTTATAGATGCTAAAGCCAAATTTTTAGGCGCAAGACTATGGCTTGAAATTTTCCCAATTATTTCTTCCAAGCAATTTTATCATTATTCTGATTTTGATTTTTTGAAGGTTGAGAAACTTTTTCTGTAGCTTGTGCGTACCAAAACTCTGAATATTCATCCTCGCAAAAGTAGCACGAAGCAGAGAAATATAATTGGAGACAAATCAGAAACTTACAGGATTGATCAAAGGGTCTCGCAAGTGGGAGGTGCTCCACCAATCTGAGGTCCACTCCCAAACATTTCCGACCATGTTGTACAGTCCGATGTCATTCTGGAGGAATGAATCGACAGGAGCAGTCGCCAAAAATCCATCATCTTTGGTATTGTTGAGAGGAAACTCGCCTTGCCAAATATTCATTCTGCACAGGACGGGGACAGACAAGAGTGAAACAGTATAATAACATTCATTTAAGGATAAAAACAACAATAAACAAAGAAAATATGGGTGAACAAGGTGTAATTAGATGATTTGAAAAACATATGTATTTCAGGGTCTTGCCAACCCTATTATCAACCAGATGAAGAGAGTAGATATTTTGAAAAAGGAACAGAAGCTAAAACCTACAAATCACAGTCAGGTGAACAAAAGAATCACTGGGTATGAAATGGACAGTAAAGTGCCGTTTTTTGATGGGGCTGTTCAATCCCTTAAACTATTAAATTTCAGGTTTTGGTTTGAAGGAAAGAGCGAATAATTTTCCTCTTTCAATTCTTGACGGATCCTGTAAATGAGTTTCCTAAGATTTAGTTTCAGACAGGATTCAAGAGATCTTACATGATTAAAAATCTCTGTTATGACAGAATCTTTAGGAATTGTGGTTCTGGCTTTTCATGAAATCAAGTTCATTTTAACAAGCCAATTCAATAAATGGCGAAATAAAAAAATCTTTTAAAATAATGAGTCATTTAGAATGTCTATAGGTCAGTGGAAAAAAAAATTGAGCACGAAAGATTCAAACCTGAATGAACTTGAATTTTTTTAAAACAATGATTTACCGATAAGAATGAAAGAAGAGCAATTTTAACTGGTGCTTTTCACAATGTGCTTAAAGTTCTTGGTTTTCCTTTCCAACGTTATTATTTCCTGGAATCTTCATTCAGATGGTCAGGTATTGTTGCAAAATGGAGGCAAATGAGGTGAGTGTGAAAAATTACTGTTTTGATGATAAAATTCTCCACATTTTTTTAACAAAAATTTTCTACCCAACTTTTCATGGGTTTGTGCTGTGTTTTATTTCACGCATAAATTTGTGCACAATTTAGCGCACAATTCAAAAGTAGCATACTGATGGCCAAAATGCGAAACCTTGTACCTCCATTGCGGTTGTTCAAAATTTCCGCTCCTATTTAATCTTTTCAAAGAAAAACAAGCCAACTTTATAGCTTGAAATAAATACAGAATATTCTGCTAATACAGAAGAAAAATGAAGAAGTTTTCGAGAAATTACTTGGAACAGTTTTCCATAGAAAAAATAGAGCATGACAGGAAGTTTGCAACATAGCAAAAAATCAATTTCCTCCTTACAAATATGCAAAGAGAGAGATGGAGATCAACTTACCGGTGTTCACCTTTGGGCATCATATTGCTTCCCCATGGAAATAATCTGTTTTTGAGGGATGTTCGACAAGCAAACTCCCATTCTGCTTCGGTAGGTAACCTTTTGCCTTTCCATTTGCAAAATTTTACAGCATCGTTCCACGACACATGAATAACAGGATGATTCATTCGGTCTGGAAAAAAGAGAGAATTTGACTCATTCAGAATGAAAACAATGGATAAAAGAGACACTATCCAGAGCAGTCAGTTACAGCAAATGTGTAGAGGATTAAATATAAGGAATCTTAACAGGATTCCTTCCGATTAGAGACTGAAAATTGTGTCTGCTTATCAAAAGCTTTTTGAACGATGGTCCAAAATAGTGACTTCTTCAGCTTGTTTGAGCCTAGTACCAAAGAAGTAGAAAATATTACCAAAATTCTGGTAACCGATCCGATTCTTATCTCTTGAGTTAAGGAACATTCATGAGCTAAAATTTTACACTGATAAAGCCGGTGGAATAAAAGTCTATTCCACACTTGTTGACAAACTGGAATGTGATTGTCTTTCCTTACGTCTCAAAGATTTCTCCACTATGATGTAAAAAGGTTTAGCAATAAGAGAAACATATATAGTCAGAACATGAAACTAAAAACCATCAGAACTCATCACTCGTCTATTATTAGAACTGATCGACTGCGTTGATGCTTATATAGGCGTATCAATATGCATTTAATTTCCCACTGAAAGAAAGAAGTAAGTGGGGGCTTGATGATGCATATTCTTTATAAGTAGTTGGAATGGAGCAGTGTTCATGAGTCTGTTACTGAAATCAAAATTTCCTAATTTCCATTCTTTCAACCATGGATTTGATATATACTCATCTCACTCCTTTGTATTTTAGCTAAACTTGTACATGAATGAAAAAAAATAATAAGAAATGGCCCGAACTGTAAGTACGAAGATGGTGAATTGGTGCTGGGCCCACACCATTTTGCAGGGGGAAAAAAGCCGAAAAGTTCAAAAATTTCAATTAGAGTCAATTTTGTACTGGTAATTACTCATTAGAGCTCAAAATTTTTGACTCTAATTTAAATTTTTGGCTTTGTTTTCCCGACGAAATGGTGTGGACCCTGCACCATTTCACCACCTTGTTACTAATCAATAAATCTTCAGATTGGAAGAATGATACTTCAAGCTCCTAAGATATATTTGTCAATATTCTCTGTAGTTGAAAGAACCATGCCACTTTCAGTACCAACATCTCCTGGTGGCGAGTGAATATAGGGCGAGATGTCACTTTAACTATCTTCGATAACAACTGAGAGTTCTAGATGGATCGCTTACCATCAATATTAGAATCTAATCCTTCAGGATGTTTCCAAGAAGCTCCTTTGACAGGTAACCACCATGGAGCTGCCGCCACTGCCTGGGAAATCCCCTCCTTCACTTTCTCTGAAATTAGAGGATCAAAGACAAATGAATCCCCAAATTTCTCAGCTTCAGTTACATGGCCTGTTGCTTCAACAAAAGCTGAAAATTCAGAGTTACTAGTTTCATACTTGTCCAGTAAAAAACCATCTACTGTGACTTCCCGGGCAGGTCCTTCTCCATCAGCCGGGATAATCGGCGAGTCAGAACCCATGACAAAAGTGCCTTTCTGTATCAGCACCATATCGGGAAAAACCATAGTTGGATCTTTAGGCTTGAGATACTTGCCCAAGGCATTGAAATCTTGCAATGAATTTTTGAAAGTTGTTGGAGCGCATGAGTCTTCACTCGTTTCAGGGAAATCTGAGGTGCCTCGACTCGTTGAAGAACATCCACATCCTTGCTCAGGCGATTGAGATCCTTGAGTGAATTGAAGCAGGTGAACATGGGTCAAAAAAATGAAACTTAAGAAGTTACTTTTAAGAATCTTCATCCTGATAGTTGAAGTATTTTCCGGGATAAAATGACAAATCGAATGGAATTTAAGGCGACCCCAGACTGTAAAGCTGAGGACTGGCTGATCTTTCATTCATACTTTACGTGCTTTGAGTTGTGAGAAGAGAAAATTTAATTGTATAAACTACTGCTATGACGTTATCACTGTTAAAGACCGCAAATTAACAAAAAAATGATATCATTTGGGTTGTGTAAAATTTAAAAAACCGCAAACTTATTTCTTTCGCACGCACGCACATTGGAAAAGCTAGGTTAGGAAAACCAAAACAAACAAACTTGTTGTTTCCTTCACCGGAAACGCGCTAGTGAACAGGATATCCGCTTTAATTTGAGATTTCCGCCGTTTCCGGCGTGATTTTTTAAGGTTATCTTATCTTATCACAGTTAATCAATTTCAATTTTCAAATTTTGGAATTTTGGACTAACTTGCACAATTGCCCTAATTTTGTATTTTTGTACTCACACTTACTTTTTTCAAGCGTTTCTAATAATAAAAGTGTTGAAGTCATCCCTCGCACACCATAAAACACAGGTATAAAGAAGGTATTAAGTAATGCTCTTTCGTCTGTGATGGCTTAGTATTTTTTGTCAGACTAATCAAACGATCAATTTAATAATAGAAATGCTAAAGCAATATTAACTGTTTTACACATTTTTCAGCCTCCTGTCGTAGGTCTTATTTGATACTGTTTTTTTTAGGAGTGTTCAAACTAGTTCAAACAAAACCCTAGTTGGTACCTGCAGCCTGATTGTTGAAATTTTTTGTTTGTCGGGACGACATAGATGACATCGGTTAAAAGGCGAAGCGTGATTGGTCGGCTATGTCTTATCGCTGCTTTGTCGTGCCTATGTCGGGTTGACCTCTCGACAAGCTAACGGCACCTCTTGAGTTTCCGACAGTATGTCGATCATTCCACCTGACAAAGGCACGATAAAGCAGCGATAAGACATAGCCGACCAATCACGCTTCGCCTTTTAACCTATGTCATCTATGTCGTCCCGACAAACTAAAAATTTCAACAATCAGGTTGCAGGTCCTATTGGTACACTTTGCTCCGCAACACTGACTTACCTACTGCTGTAAACTTACTAAGGCAGCAACAGCTCATTTTTGCTAGCTGTAATACTCTAATAGCTGTGGGCAAGGGTTGCCTCCTCGTTACTGTTTTTTAATGGAGCCGCTTTAATAGCGCCATTATAACTGATGGTACACCTATAGTTGTTCCTGGTGAACATATAGTTGCACTTGCTGGGTACCACACTTATGGCAAGACTGATCTAAAGAGGTGCGTTGCAGCAGAAATGAAGGTTCTTTCTATATTCAATATTTCATGGTTCTCTGCAGAAAGACAGCGCACATGCCTTTAATTGAGAAAATAATTCACCACTCTTTTCCTTAAACTCGAAAATGATTCAGGATATGGTTGACAACAGTCTCATTAAGGAGATTGCACGCAGGGGTACTTGAAGCGTTGCCTTCGAAAAGATAGATGATTCTTGAAAGGGTGGTAATGGGAAAAGAGGAGAAAAAGTTTCATCATCATCTCATGATTGTTTATAATACTTAATGTACCAATTTTCTCAGTTTCAGAGTGTCGCAGTTTTATCAAGTATACGGCTCTCTGAGAAATGTCTTCTCAATTTGATATTCAAACATCATACCCAGCCCAAGGTTCCTTGCAGTTGTATCGTCTTGTCTCTGCATCTGAGTTTACTTGCAATCGATGTCAACAGAAAAAAAAAGCGAAACTTATCGCAACTCAAAATCAAGACTGGAACCAAGTCATCTGTAACGGCTGTTATGGCAAACTTCTGTCGGAGAAATAATCTGAAACAAAGTGATTAAACATTCAACTGAAGAACAGAACAGTATCAAAAATCTTACTTAAGTAAGAACTAACAATCCGTGCTTTGTTTAAAAACTTTTTCAAGTTTTTCTCTTAAACAAACAACACTCTAGTCAGCTTTCATCTTTTGCTCACTTATCGACCCTTTCTCAGCACACAATTGCATGTTATTTGTGTAAGTAATACTCCTTGCCACTCGACAATTGTCGATGAATAATAAATAAGTTCACACACTTTTACAGAGGGGCGGAAACTCAACATCTTGTCTATTCCTGTATTTTTTTTAAATGCTGAACGGAAGACAGCTGATCTTTTGTTGTGCTTCAAAAGTACATACTTAAACTTATTTGACCTAAACTCTTAAGATCTCCATATATGGATGAAGTATCAGTCACCAGTTAGAGTTTGATTTCAAACTTCCGAAGTGGATTGCCACTTACAGACATTTAACTTTAAATTAAAATTTTAGGCTTGGTAGCCTCTGTCATGTCAACATTGCAATTAATTTTGGGTTACTCTAGAGATTGAAGTCAAGCATAAGTTTGCACACCACATTCCTTCTGATATTTTAATTTTTAAACATTTCCCTATGAAGCCATCTACTTTCTCTCTAATGGGCATTAGTTCCGACAAAGTTTGAACTAAAAGAAAACTCAACATATTTTCCCCTCAAACCGTCATACACAAAGTGATTCACATATTAGAAAGTTTGGAAATCAGAATTCTGCAGAAGACATCATCAACAAATATTTTAAACATAAATCAATTGGAAGTTACATATATAAACTATAAAAATGACATGATTTGCATCTGACCAATGTCAAACGTAAACTCTTACTTAAATGGATGTCCAAAGTGTGGAACCAAGCATCTCCGTCGTAATGTTTCAAAATTTTGGCTCCTATTTTATTTATTCAAGGGAAAACAAACCAACTTCACAGCTTGAAATATATTTAGAGTAAGAATAACCAATACGGAAAGGAAAAATTAAGGCAGCTCTCCAGAAATTATGTTGACTAGTTTTTAAAGAAAAAATGAAGCATGAAAAGAAGAAACGGAAATCTGTGGTTTCGAATTTTAGCTATTAATACCAGGACTCATGTGTAACATTAAAAGCCCTCCATTTCAACAATGTTCTACAGCTGTTGAAACGGAGGGCTTTCGGTGTTACAAATAAATCCTGGTACCTACCTTTAACTCCAACTCCAAGTATATTGACATACTTAGCTAGGTAATTTGGTAAACATTATTCCAATTAGTTTTTGCCCTCTTATTTTTTAGACCTCCGGCGAGAAACTTAACAGCAGATTAACAAGTTCCTGGTGCATTTTCATCAATTCTTAATCCACAATCATGGGTATACCCCAGTTACAATCTTACATTGAGAAGGCATGCCCCTCAGACTGCTTCTACAAAGTAAACATCGAGCAACTAGCCAAAAATTACAGGTAAGTTTTTTAAAATGACCTTGTTGACAACTAACGTGATGAGGGTAATGGAAATTTTTATTCCATGAAGAGTTACACTCATGGGATTTTATTTTTCTATTTTTCTACCCCTTAAAACTCTCAAATTTAGGAAGCAGCAGAACTTTAACACTAGGAAGTCTTGACCCACGGCATGAACTAAAACACCTCTTTCTTCTTCTCTCTTTGTTCCCTCCTTAAAGTTTTACTCTGAAAGAGTTCAATCCAATAAGAAGTCTGGAATTCAACTCCTTTGCAAGATGTCAACAATGACATGTAACACTGATGCAGTGAAACATTGTAAGACACTTGACGTCATTTGTATTCTTGACCTTTGACTAATGTTAGTTACAGGTATTTACGTCTTCTCAAGGGGTAGATTTTCGAACCTCCCATCGAAGGAATCATATTTTTATACGCAAAGAAGAGAAAACTGATAACTACAAGTTGTAGTATGTAATGTGTCTAGTGTCTCATTCCTCTATCATTTTTTATGGACCAAGTTAGGTAACACCGTTGATTTGTGATTTGAGCCTCCTTTGTGAAAGCCTCTCTGAGCTCTAAAATAGTCAAGTACATTTTAATCCTATGGGGCCTACGCACGACATATCTTGTGCAGCGCGGGCCGCATGCCCTGGCCTTCGCATGAGTTATCTCGTGTTGCGACCGCTAGCCAGAAATTCCCCTCTAACTCACTCTATGATTGGTTTATCAAGTCATGTAATGCATTCTGTCAGAAAGGATCTGAACTACAACTTTAGACTTCTTCCGATAGAGTGCAGTGTCGTCTGGTGAAAAAAAATCGGGTCGTAGGCGACTGCGCGAAAACCTAGGGCTCAAAGGGTTAAGTAAAATGTAAGACACTAAAAATTTTCACTTTTATTTCAGTTAGCTACAAATGATGGTTTTTTTATATTTTTCAGAGAGCAGACAGGTGGCTATGAACCAGTAATCGTTGTTGATGGTTCCTCATGCATCGGTTTCATTTACAAAGGCCTGGATTGGGTTGCAGGAGGGCAATTCAAGCAACTTTTTGAGAAATTGGATGCTTTCATCAAATCTTTCAAGAGAATTGGTGTGCGCCTGGTTTTCTTCTTCACAGGAGGAACTGTAGGCCCCAAACGCAGAAAATGGATAGAGCGCAGTTATCAAAAACAGGACGAGATTCACATGATATTTGACAAACTTGCAAAGGGTTGGCAAGTTGAAGAATTAGAGAAATGGCAAATGCTCCCGACAGGCGTTGGTTCTTATGACCGGTTCTTTTTTCAATACATTCTGCAGTGTGAGGTGATGTGAACTGTTCAATTTCCTATTTTAAAATCAAAAGTAAAAAAATGTTTACCTTAAGTGCAAAATTTTTGAGTACAATATATTTTCTTCACAGATAACTCAGCCAAATTTCCTCTTGAAATTTTGTGGGATTTTTTCTGAATGAGTGAAGGAAATTCACAGAAAAGCTTGCCAGAAACTCTTTATTGGTTCTCTTTTTAAAAAATTAAATCCAAGCAGAGTCTTACAACATTGCAATCTGAGATACCCATTTTTCGACCACAGCCATTGATTTGTAAATTCTGTCTAATGTGAGGCTAGTGTTGAATTTTGAAATCAATGTCATGTGAAAGAATTTTTCTAACTGTGACCAGCCATGAAAGTGTCTTAGTTCAGAAGAATTTAAAATCAAGTTATCGATATCTGAGCACTAGGGAATGTTATACAAACATTTTAGCACAAGTGTCAAACCAAACGAAAGTTAGGACAGTTGAATGTTCGCAGCAGGGAAAAGTTTCAAGAAAAACCTCTTAATAATTTTCATTTGCAATGTTCTAGGAATGAAAATTCATATTTTAATGCAAACTTCTGCCCTCTTCCAGCACAAAAATGAACTAAAATGCTCTCAAATTATACTTAAAGGCACAACAGAATTTTTCCTCAAAATCTCAAAATATGATATTTCCCAACATACCAGCAATCGTTCCTCTGAAATTTTATCCACTACAAAGTTTCTTTCTGTGTTGTTATCAAAATTCATTTATGCTCATTTTTTTCAGGTCCATGTCTCAGTAGATGAAGACGATACGGAGATAGCGCATTACGCCCGGAAAAATCAATGTTTTGCAATTTTAGCTCAAGATACAGACTATCTTATTTATGAAGGGGCACCATATTATATCTCTGCTCTGCATTTGAACCTGACATCAATGAGCAGTTATATTTACGATCGAAAAAAGCTGATGATTCACCTTGGCCTCGAGACCTTTCACATGCCACTATTTGCATCTCTCGCAGGATGTGATCGTGTGAGCTTTGAAGATCTCAAAGTAAGTTTTGAAAGCTCTCTCGCTCACATTCCCCCCTTAAAGAAAGAGGCACACCTAAACTATGTTGCTAACGTACAGTGGAAACATTTTGTCGATGGGACAAACAAATTATTGCTCTTAATTCATTGAAAATGTGTTGTGATCCTTACACTCAAATTCCAATATAAGAAATTAATTCGTGGAAAATTTCAGCATGCCACTTTTATTTCCGAGTTAATGTAAATGTATAACCATTAATCACGGTGTCGGCAAAGCTAAAATTTTTTTCGCCCCCCCCCTTAATTTTTTATTATACCTTCAGCTTTCATCATCATCAAAGCTGAGAATTCTTTAGTTTAAAATTTGGCAAGGAAAACGAAAAGAATCCATTTTTAAAATTAAATGCAGAATCTCATGGAAAAGAAAAATGAGAAATTGAAATCATCAACTTTAAGAGCATTTGTCACGAGCCCAAAAAGAAAAGGAAATACGGAAGAAGCTATACTTTAATAAAGAAGAATAATCTCAAATTACACCCTGAAAAAAATTTGAAGATTTCAAAGAAATGTTAAAAACAAGAAATCACAAGGAAAATAAACAGCTTGTGAAGTTTACTACTCTATTTTAGTTCTTACAACTCTATAATTTCCTCAAGTTATTACTCCTTTGAATAAAACAGTATTGCTCCTTTTTATTCGAAGATCATGAACTTAAAATGTTTGAACGTTTAGAACATTTCAGATAATTTATTATATATTTGGATAAGTTGCGTCCAAAAAGGCCCAGACATTTTTTTCTGAAGGCTGCACACATTGCATCATGCAAAACTGCTCTAGAAATATCAATTTGAAACCCAGGAATATTTAAAGTTTTGTGTTGTATTTATTTGCAGCCGTTTCACAGACGTATCAAATTTGAATTCAATAAGCCTAATCAGTTTGTAGCTGTAGCAGAGTATATAAAGCGTTACGGATTCAATAGTGAAGAAAGTATTTTTGACAGCCTAACACTCATTGCCAAAGAAGCCTTGAACGATCCCGAGGCTAGGAATGTTTTAGAAATCAGCATAAGGTGCTACATGTCAAGCACTCCATTATATAGTGAGTCTTTTAATCCTAATTTAATCCTCCGACTTTTAAACAAGTTTAATTTCGTCAGATAAAATTATTTTCTGGGTGCTTTACAGCATGTATGATTTCCTCCCTCTCAATGTATTTTTTAAATGCAAAACAGCAAATTTATGAATTTATCTATAGAACCCCGCACAGAGCATGGTTTCAGCGGCTCTCTATGAAAGTCGATGAAACTTTAATAGATTGATATGAAGTTCATAATTAAGAGAAAGCCAAAAAATTAGCTCACTTTTGCGAGTAGAAGCAGAGATATTCACGATTGAACCCGGACTATTTTCTGTTCAGCGAAGGTAAATTCTCCGTGTCGCCTTACCTTGCTTTAGCACTTCGGCCAGGAAACCCCCTCTCTTCACCAGGTAACTACGATATCGCATTGTTTACACTCACTTCTTTCATTAGGACGCTCCGTTCGGGCTGTGCGATATGGAGTTCCCTTTTTCTCGCATCTCTTCCGCGCCGGCGCCGCCGGCCGGTTTAATCTGAAATGTAGTTGCTGAAACAGAATTGACAGATGCGGGGAGAGGGAGGGAGTACGGCATTGGTACCGGCCGAGCGCAGAAGCACCTATCTTCACGTGAGTGACGTAAGGTCTGATCGAGAACGCTGAACAACGAGAGAAGAGGGGACTCGGAATTATTCCGCCATTCTGCGGCATGATGGAAAATAGTCCGGATTCAATTGTGAATATCTCGGCTTCTACTTGTAAAAGTGAGCTAATTTTTTGGCTTTCCCTTAATTATGAACTTTATATCAATCTATTAAAGTTTCATCGACTTTCATAGAGAGCCGCTGACCCCATGCTCTGTGCAGGGTTCTTTAGAGACATTTAGAATAAGTTTAATCTATTTCTGTTTTATTTATTTCATGATTTCTAAAGTACCTAATGTGCAGCCAATTTGAATTTTTCGATCTTATATGTTGAAAAAATGGATTTTAAGATTAAATCTATTATATCCACAGTATAATTTTCTGTAAGTCTCAAGCTTCAATTAAAGATACAAATTCAGGGTGTCAACAAGTCTGGAATTTCCGGAAAGTTCGGAAATAGTACTGATTTTTGAAGGGCGGTCCGGGAGTACTGAAAAAGTGCGGAAATTCTGTCAGAAGGTCCAGAATTTTTCATTTTTGTTGCAATTTGAGAGAGAAATTCAAATGTTTGAAATTGTTTTAATTTTGTCAAATGGAGGTACTGAAAAAGCACTGAATTTTTCTATTGAGGAGGTACTGAATTTCTCGGGAATGCACTGAAAAAGTACTGTAAAAGTACTGTTTTTTGGCCAGCTTCTTTTTATAGACACCCTAAAATTTGTACGGGAGCAGCCGGAGACAATGATAACTATAAAAGCAAGGGGAAAAAACAGGAAACAAGGCTTTTTTAGCCTTGTTTCCTGTTTTTTTCCCCTTGCATTTCTACTGCTTCAATTAAATATGTATCGAATATCAGACATTTTTTCCCCTGCATGGAAAAGATTCTTTTAGAAAAAAGGGACTTTTTATGAGAATGTATAGAAAATGATCGCAAAATTAAGAAACTTTCGGAACTTGAAGTACCTAAGATTGAGAATGATCCTTGGTACATATCTCAAAACGAGCAACATCCAATTTTTCTGAAAATCTATTCATTTTTTTTCCAGTTCGCAAGGACAAACTAATTTGAATCTACCAAATCTGAATCCTCCTTTGTATGTTTTCTAGCAATTCCATCGACTGACCACCCTCATTGGAATGATATTTTGCAAAGAGCTGAAGAGCTTCATAGATTCCATCATAGCCTTCAACCAAATATGATTTTAAACGTATTGAGTGGTGAGCCGTTTGAGAATGGGTACAGTTTTGAGGATTTCCGTAAAGAGGAACTTCCAAAAAGTGGTTGTCTGTTACGACCTATCCGTATGCGATTATATGGCATTCTACTCCACGAAAAACCTCCGAAACTTGATCCCATTTTGGTGCACGAGTGGTCCATGGAGAGCTTGAATAGCTTGGAAGCAGATTTTCGAGTGAAACCTATTCCTCCCATCGGTAACTGAATAATGTTTCTATGCTAGTCTGTTTTTTCATTAAGATTGTTAATTTTATTTGTCCCGATTGCTTTGAGTTAGGCACGTGCAAAAATCTGTCAATATCTCCCAAAATATAGTTACACAAGATTAAAATACTTAACAGTTTATTCATTTATTTTTAGTACTCAACTTCTAAAAATTTGAATTACTTAAAATAAAAAATTTAGGTGGTGTAATTTAAGAAAGTAATATTTGATTACATCATTTTATTTAATAGCTAGACATCTAAAACATGGTTTTATGTATCAAATCTAAATATTTATTTATTTAAACTTTTAAATGTTAATTTGTTAATGATATTTAAATTTTTATCCATTTGAGCCTGTCTACCTTTTCACCTATCTCCACCTATTGACCTATTTAGTTTTTTTGGAATCCTACTTATTGACAGAAAGAGATTTTGCTGTTAAAAATTAGAACATAGTTACAGTGTATTTTCAATGTCCACTGTAAAGGTGATTACCATAAATTTTCTGTTCTAAATATTTTTTCAGAATTTTGATGCATTCCTTTTTTTTCTAAATCTTCATCGTTTGAAAAATATGTGTCCATCTGAATATCTTCATTGCTTTATGCTTTTTTGGGGTTTTGTTTTCAATTAACGCTGCAACTTTTTATTTATGTTCTAGATGCTCACCCAGGCTTACTCGCATTGTGGAGTGATGACAGAACAAGAGAGATGCAGACTGCCCGCTGGCAATTGTTTGCTCACAGCCTATCTCCAGACTTAGACTTCGGAGTATTGACAGATTTGCCTGATAATTTGATTCTACCTACAGCCGTTTTTTTCTTCCTGCAAGTAAGTTTACTTCGCTCCTCGTCTTTCCCTCCAAATGCCATCTTATGACAATCTGTCCTATGAAAAATCTAAAATTGATCTCATCTTGGTATCCTGTAAGTGTATTGCTCTTATTTACTCAAGAGAATCCAATTGCAAGGATTGCTGGACTAACGACCTACAGCCAAAAAAGGTGTTTTGAAGTTTTGAGAGACGAGGATTTGAAATTTTATTTTTGTTTTCCGGCAAAGACCAAGCAAGAAGGGAATCTATGTTTGGTGTTTTTGGGTAGCTTAATTCATTCCTTGAAGACTGTTCTGTCAGTTTTGCCTTGAGATCTGTTTTTCAACAAATTACCTACATAAGGTTGAAGAAATCGTTTCATCGGTTGTTTTTGCAAGAATCTTACAAATTTCTGGATATTGAAAGAAAGTCACTGAAATGACTTCCTATAAATGCGAAAATTAGAGACATATAATTTTGTTATCAAAATTCATTGCCATTTTCTTTTTACAGAAAAAAAATTTCCTTGAGGAGTGGGAAATTGAATCCTTAATTGCTACAGTCGTTGCATTACCATCAGTGCCGACTGAAAAACTTGCCAGTCTTCCTGCAAATCCTGTGAACTTGCGAGCGGTCCAAATAGGAACAATTTATATGCAAGCAATATTTATTTCAATACTTGTTTTCAGTGCGTGTGGGTATCCTCTTCCGGCATCACAAGTAAGTTTACATCTCGAAGCAAATTTTCCAAACATTTTTGCTGTGGTGAGCAACATTTCAATAATAAAACTGCAGGAATGCGTGTGCATCTTTTCAAAATCTCTGCACCATTTTATTTTGTCAAAAAAGAAAATATCATCGCCATTGCTTTACTTTTTGCATATTATTCTTCACAAAAGAGGAAAAATCACGAAACCAAATTCAACATTTAAATTATAACATTAAACATTTAAATATAGATTTAAACAAAAATAAAAGAAATATAAATATATAAATATATATCATTTAAATATAGATTTTTACTGAACATTTAAATATAGATCTAATGGACTTCATTTTGCAATTAGAAACTACAACTTTCAGCTTATCTGTAAAAACGTGTATGTACATAGGGAAACTGATGGTACATACGTTGTTTTTAAACTGAGCCAGAAATTATAGTTCCAAATCGTAAAATACAGTTAAAATGGAAAGCAGATAATATAAATGATGTCATTTGTATCTTTTCCATTTGATCAATAGCACATAATTTGAATCCTTTGTATCATGTCTAGGAGTTTATTCCCGTACTTTATGTCATGTGATTCATTTTCCTTGTAAAATTATATAATAAAATAGTAAAGAAAATAAAATATAAAGAATAATTTATTACATAGTGATTTAATTCATGCCTTATCTAGAGGTCCATTCTTTAAGAAAACTTTGTACTTAATTTAAGATATTATTGCTTGATCGTGCAATGAAGATTAGACCTTTATCTTTACATATTCTAAAGTTACAGGAAAGAAATGGTTACTGTAAATAGAATCGTGTCCATGGCCAAAATTTTAAACCTCGTATCTCTGCTTGCGACGTTGCAGACTTCATTTTTTCTTGAGAAAAGTAGTTAATGTGATTTCTTGAAACTTCTTCGATTTTTCTCCTCCATTAGCAGCATTTTTTCTATGAATTTCAAGTCATGAATTTGACTTGTTTCTCTCCGGAAAAATGAAATAAGAGTGAAAATTTTGGAATACTGCAATAGAGATCTGTCCTTTTGTATTGTAGTCATCGATATGTATGACATTGGTGTATAAAAATGAGTAGGTATGCTTCCCAAAGAAGTCAAAATAAATTTTAATTTTTTTACAAAATAGAATGATTGATGAAAAGCAAGGTTTTTCTGTTTTTTTATAAAAAATGAAAAACAACTGAATCCATCAATAGACCTAGAACTGATCCTCGTCCGTGAATCATTTTTTGTTTTTAGTTCTACTTCATATGGTATTTCTCTAATTTTCATATTAAACTAGAAATTTTATCAAGGAAGAGTCTTTTTTTGAAGACCATTCTACATCTTGAAAATCATATAACTCTCTCTTAATTTCATTTATACTTACCGTCAGTCACCCTGCTAGTAATAAAACGTTTATTCTTGAGTTTTATTTTTTCTTATTTTTTTTCAGGTGTTCATTCATCCGTATTTTGATGGAAAATTACATCAAAAAATGTATTCCAAATTTGAGAAGAATACATTTCCTTATAGTTTGATGGATCCTGATCAGGTAATAAAATTATCCTTTCCTCTAGGTTAGTCTTCCTTGAGAAAACTTTCGTTTTGCTTCACTTCATGCTGAACTGAGAGAGTACTCTTAAAATGTGAGGAGTGATCTTCAGCTCCCTTCAGTGCTAAAATTTCTGACACCATCGGAGCATTCATTGGCATCGCTTGTTAGGGAAAGAAAATTTACTCTCAAATGTCAAGGAAAACGAGCAAAAGTCAAGAGAATACTTTTGACTCAAAATTCATGTTGAAAACATAGAAAAAGGCAATGGATTTCATGTATTGGACTGGAGTTTTTTTTTTTTCTCTCTCCATTTTGCTCTGTATTTTGAAAGCTCATGATTATCCAATCAAAGATTTTAGAAAATCATAACTTTGATGAAGAAAAGAGATCTTTTATGTGAAGTATCAATGGACTACATTTTGCAGTTATGAACTACAATTTCAGGCTAAGTTTAGGAACAATGTGTGTACAATTCATTTCCCTATGCAAATGAGTGTTTTTACGAATGAGTTTGAAATTGTAGTTCTGAAATGCAAAATGTACTCCAAATAAACTCCAGAATTGCTTACTTTTCAGACACAAGTTGTTGAACTTGCTATTAAAATAGTCAGGAAAATTTTGATCTTTTGGTATCAAAAACTCTGAGAATATCAGACAATTTTGGTTTCAGAAGTGTTTATACAGGGTTATCCAAAATTCACTGACCATCCCTGTAACTTTTTTCCAAATTGAGATAGAAGTTTGAAACTTTCGGAATGTTCCTCGGTCTAAGGTAGCAACTTTTTGGTCCCCCCAAAATTGTGGGGGGCGGCCCCCCTTAAGGGGGGCGGGGGCTAACTTTTTTTTCAAATGGCAACCCCCCCTTTGTGATACCTCATTCGAAAGATAATAAAAAAAGAAAATTTTTGGCGCAAACCGCAGGTCAAAATGTTCATTTTTGACAAAATGGCGGCCGGTCAAAGTTCAAAATGGCGGAAATTTGGCATCTCTGTTGTTTATAGACGGATTGGTGTGAAACTCGGAATCTGAGGGTTTTTCGGGATGAGAAAAACGATTCTGGCATTGGTTTTCCAGAAAAGTCAGTCCTTTTCGAAATGGCGGCGGTCAAAATGGCGGTCTCGAGCGGGAAGTGGATATTTGGGCTGCATATTGTTGGATTTGCATGAAACTTGGTAACTGGGGGTATTTCGACACGAAAAGAACGAATCTTTCATTGGATATCTGAAATTTTGACAAATTCCAAAATGGCGGCGGAAAAATTGCGATAAATCAGTTTTACGGCTCTTTACCGATGGATTTGCATAAAATTCGATATCTTGGCGGTTTTTGGCTGGATAAAAAGGAATCTTTCATTAGATTCTTGAAATATCAAATAATTTCATGCTAATCCATCGGTAAAGAGCCGTAAAACTGATTTACCGCAATTTTTCCGCCGCCATTTTGGAATTTGTCAAAATTTCAGATATCCAATGAAAGATTCGTTCTTTTCGTGCCGAAATACCCCCAGATAACAAGTTTCATGCAAATCCAACGATATGCAGCCCAAATATCCACTTCCCGCTCGAGGCCGCAATTTTGACCGCCACCATTTTGAAAAGGACTGACTTTTCTGGAAAATTAATGCCAGAATCGTTTTTCTCATCCCGAAAAACCCTAGGATTCCGAGTTTCACACCAATCCGTCTATAAACAACAGAGATGCCAAATTTCCGCCATTTTGAACTTTGACCGGCCGCCATTTTGTCAAAAATGAACATTTTGACCTGCGGTTTGCGCCAAAAATTTTCTTGTTTTATTATCTTTCGAATGAGGTATCACAAAGGGGGGGGGGTTGCCATTTGAAAAAAAAGTTAGCCCCTGCCCCCCTAAATTTTGGGGGGACCAAAAAGTTACTACCTTAGACCGAAGAACATTCCCAAAGTTTCAAACTTCTATCTCAATTTGGAAAAAAGTTACAGGGGTGGTCAGTGACTTTTGGATAACCCTGTATATCTTTGCTGATCCAATTAAAAATTAAGGATGTAAAAGTAGACTTCATTGCACGGTGGAGTGTCTGAAGCTGAGCAACTCCTGCTTCTACCTGTAAGTGGGCTGGTAGCAAAACTTCAAACACCCTCACCTCCTTCATACGCCATTTATAATCAACCGCCTGTTCTGTCCATACGTCAATGTGTTGATGGCAAGGAATTTTTGAAGGATTGTAGTATAGTTTTTTCATGTATAATTTAGTGAAAAAACCACAAAGTTCATCAAAAAATTCAAAAAATTATTTCCACAAGACAAAAAAGCTATTCCTACAGGGTTGTCATAGTCAGGGAATGACAGAAAAACCGGAAAATGTCAGGGAAAGATGAAAGAATCAAGGAAAAATTGTTAAGCCACCTATATTTGCTTTCTAGAATGGGTTTGACGTTGTGATTCGCCAAGAAACTATTTCAGATTGTGGCTCTTTAACCATCTGGCATATTTTCAATTGTCAGGGAATTTTACTCATGTGCCAGGAAAATGTCAGGGAATTTTATTTTCTAAATTTTGTGGCAACCTTGTAATCAGAATCAGACCAATCAAAAGCTGCCAGTCAAGTTGACATAGCAAGGCAACGCCTAAATATAAGTGCAGCCAATCAGTGAATACCGTTTTCCCCGTTGTAATCAGCGCTCACCAGAAATATTGTTTCAAACAGGTCCCGTTTTAGGAATTTTCAAAATTGGTTTTTTTGTCATTTAGGTTTGAAAAAAATCTGAGAAAATTTCTATGAGTTGAGTTCACTTTTTACTCACAGAAAATAAGTTTTTTTTTAAAAAAAAAAAAAAAAAAAAAAAAAAAATGGTACCACTGACTCATTGTCTAATTCACTGTATATTTATTTTATTTTATTTTTGGATTCTGTTTCAGGACTTGGGTGATGATCTGGAGAGAAATCGTCAGCTTTCACTTTTTTCTCAGATTAAAGCAAGAGTGTTCCTATCATCGTAATTTGATTACTGCAGGTTGGGCTCATATTTGAAAACTTCCAATTTGTACTTCAATTATGTCAGATTGATCTCAAGTGAGAATGTAAACAAATATTTCGATGGCTAAAGTGTGAAACCACGCATCTTTGTTTGCAACGTAGCAGACTTCCCGTCACACGGACCTACTTTATTTTTTCTCTGGAAAACTAGCGAACGTAGTTTATTGAAAACTATTATGACTTTTCTTCACTGTCAGCAAAATATTTTATATAGATTTCGAACCGAACAAATGGCTTGTTTCTCTTTGAAAAGATAAAATTGGAGAGAAAATTTTGAAACTCTGCAATGGAGATATGTAGTTTTGCACTTTGGTCATCGATTTGTTAGAAATAGTACATCAATTATTTCAGAGTTTGACAGCTCAATTTGAAGTCTGTGTAAGGGTGTAGCATGTGCAGCAAAGCTTCTAATGATCGTATAATGAAGGTCCATACCTGAAGGCTTTTAAACTTAACTACTGATCAAATATTTGACTGTGATATCATAGGTATCCATTTTCTTTCTATTTCATTGAGTTTTTACTATTTATATTTTGATTCGTTCAAGTTTTACCTTTCTTCTACAGTTAAGGTTCTTTGTTTTAGTACAAAAATGATACTAGGGAGTAATTGAATCATTGATTCTCAAAAAACTTCAGTGCCATGTAAAATATACAAGAAAAAAAGTAGAAACTTTACTAATTGACCTGTTTCAAATGGTAGATTAATTAATTTATTCATCACTTAAATATTATGGAGCTCTAGAGATATAGAACGGGTGTGTTACTACAGTTTTTAAGTACTGTTCCTCTCATATTCTCATTTTTGGCACTTTAGTCATCCTACAATCATTGATGGTTTAATTTTTTTTTTATTTTCAATGCATTTGTACTTGTTATGCTCTCTCCTTTCTTTTCATTATGTATTCCTTCATTATTATGTATCCATTATTTCCTATTAACAACTATTAATTGGACTGCATTTTGCAATTTGGAACTATAAATTCTGGCTCTTTTGGAAAAACACTTATGTGCATAGAGAAACTAATGGCACATACGTTGTTTTTAAACCGGGCTAAAATTTATAGTTCCAAATTGCAAAATGTAGTCTAATTGATAATCAATGATTTTTGTACTTGATTTAAGTTTTCTTTAGTCTAGGTTTTTATTACTTTTTCTCTTTCATTCAACTAAGCTGATCTCACGACAGAAACACGAGTAATAAACTCCTAATAACACTTTTCAAAGTTTTTCAAAAATTACAAAGTTAAAGTAGCATAGTTTCTGCTTCATTCTTTTTTTCTTACAGCAAAATTTGTTCAATTTTCTAATTCAGTAGTTTTCAGCCAGTGTTGACAATTTACAGCAATATTTCAATCATTTCAATATCAACACTATCAATCAATGTATAGTGCAGTAAATATTGTTTTCCAGAGATTATATTTTTTGTAAAATTTCATTTAACATTTATAATAACTGACATTCTGTGCGAACACTTTCAAGTTATTGAGTTTCATAAATTCTCATTTATTGCAGCTTTATTTTGTGGTTACTTTCCTGTCTTTAATTTTGAAGCTATTTTGTCAATTCTTGCTCAGATGTGTTTGAACACTTCAATATCGCACTGCATAATTGTTTTTATCAAATTGAAAAAGGTCAATCCACCCAAATAATAATTGAAAGGACAATCCTCTTCTTTGTATCAAACGAGAGAAGGTTTGATTAAAACCCTTCCCGTCTGTAAAATCAATCATGCAAGTTGTTTAATGGATTGGCTTTATTTTTATTATAAAATCTTCTCAATTTCGTTTACATATTATGCATTTTCGTTTAGTTACAAATTAAAAACAAATTCATTTTATTTTCTTCGCATTTTACATTCATTGAATCAATTCATCCTCTAAAGTAAAATTGTTCTTTTCTTTTCCTCCATTCTTTTCTTTTCTCTTCTCTTCTCTTCTTCTTCTTTTTTTTTTTTTAAAAGTCACACTCCAAGTACGAATATACTTAAATTAATGCAGCTCTTAATCTATTTTAAAAAAATGTTGATGCGAAAATGTTGTCTTCATCATTAATTGGGGAATTCTTTGATAAAAGGCGTATGAGGCTTGCAATGCTGCTAGGATTGCGCAATTCTTATTTGCATTTGCAGCAAGTGAAATTCATTCGCAGTCGATTTACCTCCACAAAATAGTGACGAAAAATTCTGAGTGAATTCAGGGAAAAGTTCATAGCAGGAGCTTTCAGATGGGTCACTTGTAATTACAGAACCATGTCACACAACCTCAGCAGCAGTGGAAGCCTCAAATGCCCTTTTACCAAAGGATTCCTTGGTTATATCTGATCAAAAGTTAATTTTCAGAGCTAGTGAAAAAAAATTAAGATTGAAGGAAGAGTTGCGACTGCATTAGAGCACAGCTTTTTAAGTAGCTTGCTTCAGATCATTGCCTTGTAGAATGCTTTAGACTTTCAGAACCCTTAAATTATTTTTGTTTACAAGCTGAAAAGTCATAAGACTTTGGACAGCATTTTTCTTCTATTTCTTGGAATTTGCTCAGTAGCTATGCGGTAACCTGAGCTACAGTGTATAATAGGTAACCAACCTCATGATTATGCTCGGCATTATGTATTATTTGTCAGCCTCCTGTGGTGTAGTGGTTGTAGCGCTGGCTCTATAATCAGGAGGTCCCAGATTCGATTCCTGGCTAGGCGACCCAAGTTTGATGATCTCAAACAACGGTTGCCTTGGGCTGGCACATAATAGGGACTTGGGGGGGGGGGGGCTCTAACGGGAAGCACAGAATTACCACTTTTGTGGTATTTGAAGTAGATAAAAAAAAGAAGAAAATATTTATCAGGAAGTTGACATAATACGTCAGGAGAGAAACCATTGAATTGTATCTTGACGGATTCAGGCGTGACATCACACTAAATAAGTCAAATAAAGTAACAAAAATCGTGCTTCAAATTTCGTTTATTTCATAGAATAATTTTTCCATTCCACACTCATTTTAAATTTCTGTTTTTACACAATTCTGTCATCAGCAAATGTTTATTCACTTTTACACTTTTTTAGAAAAAACAACTTTATTTCAAAAGAGCGCTAATGCTGCAATTAACAATGTTATTTACTTTTCTACAGACAATAAAACATATAAATTAGGAATTTAAGTATAAAATAATCAACTCAAGTATAGAGAACACACAATTTAATACTCTGTACCTATCCGTAATGAATCATCAGTACTATCATTAAAATAGGTAGGTACCCCGAAGGTACATACAAAAATATTCTTGTATTAATGATGTCTATAATTTCTTTTAAACTCTAGAAAGTTTTGATGCATAGAAAAACTTTGTGAGTTGCAAATATTATCAAAATTATTGTATTTTAATTGGATGTTGGAGAAAGTTTGATTAAAAAAAAAGAGAAAAAAAATAACGTAGTTTGCTTCTTTCAAACTTGCAGACCTTAATTCATGGATTCGACGAAAAAAATGAAGAAATTGAGCTGAGATTTCTTAAGGAATTTTTTAAAAAAGTACTTAAAGTCTCAGACCTAATATTTATCTCAGTGATGACATTTTTGAATGGTTGTAAATGCGTTGTTTCTAGTTTTATGATTCAGAACTCGCAAAAACGAACGCAATTTTTGTTCATGAAGATTAGGTACCTGCGGGAGATGAACACAAATGGGAGGAGAAAGAGGAGCGCAGACAAAGATTTTCATTTCATGCGTGAGAATGGTCAAAAACTATCAGTTAAAGTTCTATTGATGCATAAAAAAGGTGCTAGAGATAGGGTCATGAGACATTATAATTTGAATAAATTATTGGTCCCTGTGTATTACTACCAAACCAGCACCTATTTGTCGGCGATTAGCCGAGGGTAAAACCCTCGTTTCCACCGTCCACCACGAGGAGGAACCGACATCAGACGGCAACGCTTCCATCGTCCAACTTACAACTCCCATGGCATTACGTTAATTTGAAATTCAAAATTTTGAAGAAATTTTGAAGAAATTGAGAAGAAATTTTAAAAGACAAAGGCATGGGGCTCATGCCTTTGTCTCACTCGAGATCGGATGCCCTATAGCCGGTCCGGACCGACCAGTTTCCTCCTTAAGATCTCTTCTCCGTTCTGCTTTTTTCACACGGACTCCCGCGCGAACGAAGCACAACGGATCTACTCAGTTCCTACGAGATCAGAGGTTTAGTCGAGTGAGATTTAGTAAGGATAACCAGTGACCTCTTCAAGATCTCATGCCATGAAGAGTTGGGTCGCCTCGAGGTCGCGCACCCTCACTCACAACAGTGAACAATTCGCCAATGACCGAATGCAGGGAACTCCTCTACCACCGTGCGATCCAGCAGTGAGACAACAAACTCGTAGCTGGATACTCTCTACAGAGATAGAGATTGCTGAAACTTTGTCCGGCTTGTTCGGCCCAGGAGAACAGAATACCCTGAGCCACGAGGCCCCGGAACCCTCGTGAAGTATTCGGCTCTCCTGCATCAAAACCTACTTCAATCTGCAACATCGCCCCAACCACCAGCCCGTTTGAGAGGCGTCCGACCCTCCGGTTCCGACTTTGCCTGGTCTAAAGTGTCCCGGGGGGGATGACGGCTTTAGACTTAATGCGCAAGCATCGGCAGATACCGGAGGTTGACCAGAACAGGATTGCCAGGCTTCGATCGGTCACCCCTGCATTTGGTCGCTGACGAATCGCGCAAAGTCGGTCACAGATCGGGATTTTCAGACCACTGTGTACCGGTTGATCCTTGCACCTCGCGGTTCAAGGATATGGCCTAACTACTATCAGTGGTCCTCTGAAGATCATCGTTCCCCTCATGTTCCTAAGGTTCCGCTTGATCTCTTCCGTAAGCCAGGGATATGGGCTAACAACCAAGGTAATAACGTACCAAGGTTCCGCTTGATCCAAGGCTGCAATGGATATGACCTAACATCCAAGGTGTAAACAGCCTTGCTGCACGCGGAAGCAGGGCACCAAGGAAGCGGTTGATCCATGCCCGAGCGTATTAGGGATATGGGCTAACAACCAAGGTAATAACGTACCAAGGATGCGCTTGATCCTAAATTGCTCGTTACGATGTGTGAAGAGATATGGGCTAACAACCTGAGGCGAGGGAGGGTGCAGAATCACAACAGGTTTGCCGGCGTTTGGCGCGGGTCGGAGACCCGCCCCAGGTCCACCACGAGGAGGCTCCGGCACCAGACCCTCCGCTCTCTCATTTTCATCTCACTTTCATTTCATCTCGTCTCATTTTCATTTCATCTCATCATCATTTCATCTCATCATCATTTCATCTCATCATCATTTCATCTCATCATCATTTCATCTCATCATCATTTCATCTCATCATCATTTCATCTCATCATCATTTCATCTCATTATCATCCCCTTTTCATCTCATTATCATCCCCTTTTCATCTCATTATCAACCCCTTTTCATCTCATTATCATCTCATTTTCATCTCATTTTCATCTCATTTTCATCTCATTTTCATCCCCTTTTCATCCCCTTTTCATCTCCTTTTCATCTCCTTTTCATCTCCTTTTCATCTCCTTTTCATCTCCTTTTCATCTCATTTTCATCTCCTTTTCATCTCCTTTTCATCTCCTTTTCATCTCTTTTCCAATCCGTCTCCTTTTCATATCTTTTCCAATTCATCTCCTTTTCATCTCTTTTCCAATTCATCTCCTTTTCATCTCCTTTTCATCTCCTTTTCATCTCCTTTTCATCTCCTTTTCATCTCCTTTTCATCTCCTTTTCATCTCCTTTTCATCTCCTTTTCATCTCCTTTTCATCTCCTTTTCAGCTCCTTTTCAGCTCCTTTTCAGCTCCTTTTCATCTCCTATTCAGCTCCTTTTCAGCTCCTTTTCATCTTCTTTTCAGCTCCTTTTCATCTCCTTTTCATCTTTTTTTCATCTCCTTTTCATCTCTTTTCCATTCCGTCTCCTTTTCATCTCTTTTCCAATTCATCTCCTTTTCATCTCTTTTCCATTTCATCTCAAATCTCATTTTCCATTTCATCCCCTTTATTTCATCTCCATTTCATCCCCTTTATTTCATCTCCATTTCATCCCCTTTATTTCATCTCCATTTCATCTCCATTTCATCTCCATTTCATCCCCATTTCATCCCCATTTCATCCCCATTTCATCCCCATTTCATCCCCATTTCATCCCCATTTCATCCCCATTTCATCCCCATTTCATCCCCTTTTCATCACCTTTTCATCCCCATTTCATCACCATTTCATCCCCTTTTCATCACCATTTCATCCCATATTCATCTCCATTTCATCCCTTTTTTATCCTAAAAGGAAAGGACAGATATCTCTAAAAAATCTAGATACTTGCTCTAATAAACAGTCACCGATAAAATTTAATCAAATGGATTAGTTTAAAGATGATACATTAACTTTGGGAAAAACAGTGGCGTTATCTGCTGTAGGATTCGACTTCACATTATCAGGGGCTGCAAGTTGTAATGATAGCAAATCAAATAAATTTCGAATGAAAATAACTTCAGGTAATGGAGTCAGTCTGTCTCATCTGTATATCCCCATCACGTCTTACCCACAAGTATTCATAATGAAGTTGATATTGCTTTTGAGGTGCTAAAAAGCGTAGCTTGCTCCGATGATCAGTCAGGCTAGGACATAGGTAACAAATAAGAGCACTGGACGTGCATTGCAACTCTAAATTTGTACAGTTGAACTTACAGTATACTTTCCTTTGATTCGAAAAAAATGTTTCTATCAAATCTCCAGGTGAATTCAATAATTAAAGTAATGCAGGCGGCTTGCCATTTCTTCAATTTTTTTATCGCCGAA